GAAAAGCCTTATTGTCAGGTTCCTCAGGCCACAGAAGCACGTAGTGAAAGGTGTGTGTGTGTAATATATTTATTTATAACTATATATATATATGAGACACTTCTTTTTTAATAAAAAATACAAATTATACTTTATAGGTATAGAAGTATATATACTTAATGTAATAAATATATGTATGTATAGTGTAAGAGAATAGTTTGCTAAGTTATCTTTATCATTAAATAACAGACAGTCTATAAATTATGAGGCCCTGATTTGGAAATAGTCTGTACCCGTTCATGCATCATTGCATATACCTTCTTGATCTCAGTCAGGAGCCCACAGAGCTGTCCAGGCCCTGATGTTATTTGGTGGCCAATATATGGAACAATAATATAAACTGCCTCCTTTCTGTCAGAACAGTCCTGCCATACCCACCCTTTTTCCATCCCAGGTGGTCTCCCCTCTCCCATCTCCCCCCACCATCTCTCTCTCTTTCTTATACACACATGTGTGCACACATACACACACACACACACACAGTTACCATATTCTTCTCCTTTACCTCAATCTTCCAAATTTTGTACTTTTCCCCTAAATAAAATCTTTCTTCCCGCCTCTTTTCATGTCATTTGTGAGCCAAAAAGATTCTGATCATATTATAATGGCACTGAGCATGTTAAGAAGGAAATTTGTTCATTTTGATACGAAATTTGTCCCAGTAAAGGGCTAGTGTGACCTCTAAGTGCTCCCGTCCAAGAGAGGAACTAAAGATTAGGAGGAAGGATGATTTACTTCTTATTTTCTACTGTTTTAATAGTTTGACATTATAATTTTGCATTGCCTGTATATTACTTCCATAGTATTTTTGTTATTTTTTTGAGTATCCATATGGTGGTAAGGTTGATTGGAACTGTTGTTCCATTAAAAGTATACAAAATCTCAGTTATTTTATGAATTAAAATAAGTACTATAGGCTAGCTTGAGCATCTGATCACCGTATAAGATCATTATCCTTTTCAAGTTCCATATATAGTAACTGGCTTAAAGATAGACTTCTAGATTGCAACCTATTTGCAAAGTGTAAAGAAAATCAGCTGATTTTCAAATTTCAGCGTGGAGACTGTATGGACTCTCTAGTGTCTAAACAGGAAGTAAGATATTATGGAAGCTGTATACACAAGTCCGTTTCCTCCTAGACAAATAATTATCTCCCCATAGTGTGGTACTTACATAGTTAATCCAATATGTCGTTTAGCCCTGTTTAATAAGCAGAGGCTACTTACCATGGAAAACAAATATGATATATATATATATATATAATATGTGTGTGTATGTAAATACATATATATAATATATAATATATCTAGCATCTATGGTAAACATTTATTGTATTTTATATAACATATAGTAAGCACATATTGTACTATAAATCTTACATCACATGCAGTAAACATCACATTATACTTGCATTTCCCAGATTTAAATATATGTACTTCCCATACCACAGTGAAACTTTAATCATCTCTTCATCCCTTACTATAATGATGTTAATACATAATATAACAATAGTAATAATTTTCCTGCAAACTTAGAGGGTTTAACCAGTTCGTCTGAATGCACATTGGCTTCTTATACTGAGCAGAGTCATATTTCATGATACAAGGTTCATCAGGCAGTTACAGTACAGGAATAGGGGTTCTGCTCAAACACTGCAGGAGACCATTGGCTGTGGATGGGGTGGGGATTTTTTTCTTTCCTTTACTGAATGCAGCTCTGGTTGTTTGATTTGGATATAAAGCTAAGGAGTGTTGTGCATCCATACATGATAACACACACACACACACACACACACACACACAATCCCTGACAGGGCTCACGGGGTTGGGGGACCTGACCCAGGATTGGGGCGAGGGGTACTCGCAGTCTGAGTTCATCTGAACCTCTCGCTATCAGCTTTTCCCATCGACAGCAATTTTGTTTTTAGGCGCAACACTGCATTGTTCCCCATACTTCAGCTGATGAATAGTAGTTCTCATACCCTATTTAAAGGATATACTAGTAGTTTTAAAGAAAGAAAAGGCTCTCCATTCAGCTGTACAGTTCCCAGCCTGTACTTCTGTCATTTAAAAAAAAAATGACAGAGGAAATGTTTACATGAATTTCATAGGCATTAGCTTTATTTTTCAAAACACTGTGTTTTAAAGCACAATAGACCGTGCAGTTGTTTATAAACTTCAGGTTTTCATCAGTGTGAAATAATTGTTTATTTCCTTTCCCTATTTCCTCTTATCGGAAAAAAAATACATTCAGTCTCTAGGCTAGATAAATTCCATTTTGCTAAGTTATGTGCCAGCTTTAATAAAGTGTGTTTCGTATCACTGGGGCATAGGCTTAGCGCTGTCGTCGCATTAGCGAGGGAATGTGACATCAGCCATTTGTTAGGTCACATGGTATATCTGGTGCACTGACCATCATGGATCGATCTGATCTTTGTCTGACCACTAAGCAGAAAGCAGCCTGCCCTGAACTGTCCCATTCGCGTTCCTCTGCCCTCATTCAGAAGTCTGAGCTTCCTTTGCCTGGCAGATTAAAGGGGCAGGTGGCATCTTTTGATGATGTGCAAAACAGCCTTCTCAGTCTGAGCTCTTAGGCCATGCTAGCCTCAGAGGCTGAAGCCCTATTCAGCCACCCTGAAATTAACCAGAACTTGGCCTTATTTTCTTCCCTGACAAGTTTTCTTAAAACCTTAAGGGTTTCTCTCTCCCTCCCTCCCTCCCTTTCATTTTTAGTGTTGACCAGGGAGAGATAGGAAATAAACAAAAGCAAAACCAAACCAAAAAATAGCCCTAAAGAAGAGGAAATCCACAAAACAATGAAAAACATAGGGCTGGGCCTTTTCTTTCTGTGATAATCTATCAATAGGTGTTACATTGTGATATTGATCCTCAATCCTGTGGTGTATCTATCACCCTATTATATATTATTTTCTCCCTCATGAAAAAGCAGTGTTTATTACCACAGGTGACAGAACACAGAAATAAAAAACAAGCAGAGAGGTTACGTTTAATCACTGAAAGTTGGTTTCATATTTGCTTCTCTGCTTTCATTCCTGAGCCAGAAGCCTGTAAACTGTGTGAAGCAGGGGGTGGGGAACAAACTGGCAGGCGACACCGAGAAAGGCCAGCACAGGTGCTGAGCCAATGAGAAGATAAACATCAGGTCCTTCTCGGTGATTGTTCGTAGATGAGCCAAAGAAAGAATTTGGAAATACCACCGTGCTACTGTGCAAATATTTACTAACTAAACGTGGAAAGGAAAAAATGTTGGTCACCTCATGTAGAAGTCCTTGTCCTTTTCCTTCTTTGAACAGTGTCTCAAAGATCCAAGAAAAGGGGGTTGTTTATCTAAGAAAGAAATATGAGCTCTACTTATGGAGTTTCAGGTACACTGACCGTGGGCTTCATTAAGCAAATGCAATTTAGCCATCTTGGCATTTGGCAAAAGACGCTTTTATGTTTCTCGGCTGTTTACTTGGAGAGAGTATTTACCAGTCGGGCAGATTAGGATGTTTACTGCACACGGTGTGTGTGTGCTTCATCTCTCACCGTGGCTGTGAGCCCTGGCACGCAGGGTGTCGGTGAGACGGGGGAGGTTACTCGCTATGAGCATGACAATTTAAAGAGAAATGGGAAGTCAGAGTGAGCAGGTACTTAGCATACAGCTCGTCTTCCAGATATTGGAAACTGTGTTGCTGCACACTTTATAAGCTTAACCTTACTTCCTGAGCAAATGCAGTGCGGGGTGCTTTCATTCATTTAGGCTCAGGACCCAAGGAATAGCTCAGTTGTTTCCTCTCTGCAAGCAGGAAAGCTAATGAGGAACACAGATTAGAAACCAAGGTCTGTTCTGAGATTAAGATAAAGTGTCTGGATAGAAGATTTATGGTGAATTGAAAGACCAAGAGTAATTATGCCCTTCTGGGGCAAAGTCTTGAATAAGGCAAACCAGCTTTGCTGAAGTTCCTATATGGCTTTAAATAGCCACCTTCCTACTGTGTAAGTACTGAGATGTGACAGTCATTACAATACTTACTGATTAATCTGTTCACACAGTTTGTTTAAATGTTCTTTAGAATATATATGGTCCACATGGAGAAAATTTCAGGGTGACTTTGGGTTTTGCATGAGTAGCTCTCAGGTTTACATGTGAAAATGACCATTTGTGAAACAAAAAGTGAGCTTTCAATATTCTATTTGGGTTCACTTCTCCATAAAAAGCCTGCCAAACTGGAATCATCGTAGCCCCGAGAACAGGACCACCTTGTCACAGCAAACTGCAGCAGCATGCCTCGTACTCATCCCACGGGGGTCCTCTTTTGCGCCAGTGCCGGGGCTGAGCTGCTGTGGCACCAAAGACCCCTGGGATATGTGGAAGCCATCCCCCCCCCCACTTACAGACGCTTTCGGGTAAACCCCTGAGATTCTGAGAGACATAAGGTCTGCCTTACTTAACTTCCTCTCATTTACCAAGAATCATGATCTATTTTAGTAAATAAATTCAGGAAATTGGTAAAGCACTTTACTCCATCCGTTATGTATCAGTAATTAACGTGATTGTCTCGTTTTTCCTGGCTGGGCGCGCTGTTGCTGACCACTTCCCTCACATGCCTGCCACCAGTTTATAACATCCCTAGTAATGGGTGTTACTGAGTTTTAACTACTTAAACAAACAAAACAGCCTACAGCTTTTCAGAGAGGGTGCACTTCTCTGCTTCATTAAGTGAAGATCCCTAACTTCAGAGACGTTTCCCTATTGATTCTGGCATTCTTTTCACTTCTCACCCCCGGATCCTTTACACCCCGGGAAAGAATAAAAGAACGGCTACTCATTCAATCAAAGGCGTCAGCCAGCGTCTCTCTCCTGCCCTAACCACCCCCGCTTCCCGCTCCGCTGTTCAAACCGAGCTGCCGAGCTTACCGGCTCCAGCTGCTCAACCAGTAAACCTGGTTTTCTCCTACCTTCATGAGCCACTGAGTGTTGTTTTCCATGATGTTCTCCAGCACTTGCAGCCTCTGCACCGAGTCGTCGTAGTCGAGCGGCGCGTCCCTCTGCACAGCATTGGACACGTAGGAGCTGGAAGCCGAGCGGCAGTTGTCCGTCTCAGGCAGGAGGAAAGTGTAGCTGCAAGACCCGTGCTGAACCTGATACTGCCTTTTCCCCGTGCTGTCCATGCTTTTCCGAAAGTTGTTATAGGCTGCAGCTAAGACAAGATCACAGCCCAGAGTAAAGAAAACAATCTGCCACATTCTTTCTTTCTTTGGGAACAAACGCCGGATTAGCAGACTTAAGGCACGTGGGAGCCCAAGTCCTAAGCTGCCCTCTCAGGCGCAGGGCTCCGCAGCCTTGGCTTAAGGTCCATCAGTGGAAGTCTTTGCTAGCAGCAAACTTGGTTTTTAATGCTGTCTTCTCGCCGGTCCTGCAGTAAACTGCCAGAGCGCAGTGGGAAGAAGAGCCCGGCTCACTGGCGTGGGCTCCGCTCACTTTAAGCATCAGCGTTAAAGCGTCTTTGTCTCTCTGCCCCCAGATTCTGTGGTGTCGGGATCCGAATCAATCACTTTCCTTTCCTTATATGATAAGTTGATAAGAACAGCCAGACATGTGTAGCGAGCTGCTCCGCCCTCCTGGCTTGTCTGTTATCTTCCTGTAGGGGGGTCACTAGCCAGGCAACAGGAAAAATCCGAGCATGGTGCGTGCTGTCCAACCAGGACTGTGGGCTGCAGAAGCCCTCTGGGAAAAACTGATCAGTTACAGGACCCCTGGGTACTTCAGAGGCACCACCCTAATTGGGTATTTCCTAGAGAGGGCTGTGGGTCTCCTGTGTCTGAAACTGATTTCACAGTGCTAAGCTGGTAAAATATCTGGGGTAGTAACATTGACTTTAAAGTACAATGAAAGTTCCTGTTTTTTCCTTTAGGAATAGAAATACTACAAATATGTCAGGACTTTGGTTTATTTTTGTTATTACAAACGAAGAGGAAGAAGTCTTGCTCTTGTAAACTCTCTGCCTTTTCATAGGGAAAATAGTTCTGTTGGTATTACTTGATTTTTGAACTATTAGCCAAATATATACAATTTTCATTATAAAACAGTTGGATTAGGAAGATCTTGCTTTATTAAAAGGTGATTCAGTTTCCAATCACTGGCATTTATTCTTTTAAATAAAATATCCACTTCAATGTTCAAAGTAAACTTAAAACATACTGGAATGATTAATGGTTAAATTATAATACGTAGAGAAATCAATTTAAATAAGAAGATTGAGAGAGGAACATGAAAACTTCTTTAGTAGATGGGATTTCCTCAGAGTCCATTAATTTGTTACATATTATCCAGGATCAATTAAATCAGTTCCCCTCAGTGTTGGACTCAGGCAAATCACCTCCCTTTTAAGATTAAGCTCTGATGTCCTCATATGTGAAATTCAAGAGTAATATCACCTCCCAAGATTTTTCTGTTTCAATTTTATGGCTCTGTAAATCCTCTGGGTCATTTGACAACTAAAATTTAACACTTTGGGGATTAATAATATGCTAACTCACCAGCCAGAGTGTCCTTAGGGAGAAAACCTGGAGGCTTTGCTGGGTGTGGTCAGGTCGGAGTGCAGGCAGAACAGGCATGTCCTTTCCGGCAGCAGCAGCCTGGCCGGCACGTGCACCTGACGGGCCACAGCCACTCAGGAGAGCCAGTGTCGGCCAAGGTCAGGTTCAGAGCATCAAAAGCATCCCTCCTGTGCATGGGCTGGCTCCCAGCTACCACTCGAGCCAGGTTCTTAACCTGAGGTCCACGGGCAGACTCAATGGGGTCCATGAACCTCGACAGGAAAAAATACGTTAGTTCTCAAACTCTCACTGAAATGCAGCCTTTCCTTGACCTGTGAATAGGTCACAGGCACCAGTGGCCACTCCTGTGGCTTTCTCATCAGTAGGAATCGTCGCTACCTTTGTTGTGAGAGCTGAAGCTGGCGCTGGTGCTTAGTCCTGCACAGGGGCCAGACTCATGCCTAGATCTTGCTGCGTAATGTCTGAGTAAGGCGGCAGTGTCATGTTCTGAGAAGGGGTTTGTGGGCTTCCCGGACCACTGGAGGGATCTGCTGCGCAGGGAAGCTAGGACTCGGGCTCCGGCAGCGCCCCGTAGTAGAAGAGGTTGTGTGATGCCAGCATGACTCTGGCTCGTGGTTTCTAACAAAGGGACAAATTAATAAAAACGCACCATGCAGGCTGTGAACTGTGGATGGGAGCATGTAGGCCTTGAAGACAAGACCTGAAGCAAGGACCTAACTTCTCCATGCCTCAGTTTCCCTACTGGTAAAATGAAATGAGTCTTTCTCCTTAGCACCCTCAGGATTAAGGTGACATGGAATGGTGAGTGTTGTATAGGAGCGCTACTTTCTTTTCGTTATCAGTATTTTCCATTAAATGGAAATCGGTCCTTCTGCCAACAGATAATATTATTCTCTGACCAAATGTGAAGTAGAAACATAGGGTGCCAGTTTTTTCTTCTAAATGTGTCCCCCATTTGAAAAAGTGTATTATAAAGTATAAATATTGCGCTTGTGGTTTTATAAATCATTCATCTGCCTTCCGGGCAGGCTGAGTGCTGTAAGGAGAAGCTGCAGTGCAGGAAGAAGCTGCTCCACAGGTGCTTCTTGGATCAGACCCTGTCCTGGGCACTGGGACAGATCAGCCCCGAGGAGCTTCAGACTTGAGGCTAATGGAGAGACGGAGGGAGGGAGCCCTGTAAATAGGAGGACGGCCTGGAGGCGTTGTCAGGGCACCAGGGGGAAGACAGCAGCTCCAGGCCCTGGTCCTGCAGGCAGGCCCCTCAAGGTCAGACGTGCACCAAGCAGCTCTTTGTAGGTCCTAAATGGAAACTATTGCCAGGGAGTTGGGGAAGCTCTAGTTACACCAGGGGCCAGCAGGTTTTTCTTGTGACGCATCGGATAGTAAGTATCGTAGGCCTTGTGGGCTGTCCCATCTCTCACAACTCACCAGCTCTGCTCTGGTGGCGTGAAAGCGGCATGGACAGTCCTCAAACGAAGGGTGTGGCTGCCTTCCAGCCGAGCTTGATTCGTGGGCGCTAAAATTTGAGTTTCTTATAATTCTCATATGTCATGAAGTATTCTTCTCTGGACTTTTATCAACCATTTAAAAATGTAAAAACTATTCTTAGCTCTCTGGCCATTCAAAACAGACTACGGGCTGTAGTCCGCTGACCCCTGAGTTAGAACCTAGAGGGTCTTCCAGGGCCCGTGGCATGGTCAGTGGGGCAAGGCTGGTGGAAATGGGGCTCTCCCAGGCCTCGGGACATGGCATGGCCTCCAGAAGGACCAAGAACCAGAGACAGGCCAGGAAAGAGGGACTCAGGAAGGGGACAGGAACACTGCACCACAGAAAGTAGCATGTTGACACCAGCTCTGAAATGCAGACAAGGAGGACACTAGGAAAACTGACCCCAGCGTAGAGCAGGCTTCACACGCACAGGGCTTCTGCAGGCGGCGAACCTCGTGGCAGAACAGGGGGTGTCCTCTGCAATCAAGGCTACAGCCTGGACTCCCACTCCTTCAGGGAGAGGGCGAGAGAACCGCAGGAGGCCCTGGAGGAGGCTGCTGGGGCTAGGATGGTGCCGTGGGTGGTGACCCTCCTGTCCCCGGGTTCCAGCTCACACGCCAGGCTGTGACTGCTGCCACCCCAGCTCGGCCTCACCACCCGGACCCCCTCCACGCTCTGCCGCTCTCTGACCTCTTCTTCTGCAAAGAGAGCCTCGAGTCTTGCTCAGTGCTTTGCTGGGAGGGCAGCTGACGGCAGGTGAGGCTATAAACCGGGAAGTGTTACTGCGGCCTTCCCGGAGGCTGCCTTCCTGCCCAACCGGTTTTTTTTCCCTAACAGTTCTGCTGAACAGCTGTGCGTGGTGCTATTTATTTTCTTAATAATGTTTACCCTCTCCCCGTACCGCATGTCATCAGCTGAAATGTCGGAGACTCACATTCATTCTCGGTAGGACTCTCAGGTTCTCCTTGCACTTTGCCGTAATGCTGGCACCAAAATTAGCACCTAATCACTTCCTGAAGGAAAGAGGTCAGTGTCCCCCGGGCTTTGCGAAGGCCCCTGTGCTTCCATGAGCACTGTTGAAGAGCCGTAATGTGTGGGAAAAGCCAAAGGGTCTCCTGATGGGTGTCCCACCCCCACCCACCAACCCTTCCCAAAGCATAGGTTCATGTAGGTGTGATTGTGGATCTGACTGGCTACAGCCTTCCGGAGACCCCCGGTCCCCCAGAGCAATCTGTGAGGCTCTCCCAGACGTTTGGCTCTGTTTGCATGGTGTCTCAGGAAGCCAGAAACCAAAAAGGGATACCAACTTTAAATCCTTGCAAAGTGGGGCAGCCCCCAAACCACAGGCTGCCAAGTAGAATTTGTGAGCAAGCCTGTATGACCTCCGCTACTGTCCAGTGAACCAGTTTAATATTCAGTATTTAACTGGATAGTCACAAATCAAGGGACGGAAGTGGGTCCGGCTGGCCTGGGGAAGGGGGTGCATGGCTTTCGGAACTGTTAAATCCCAGTTAAGTGTGTGTGACAAATGTGTGCTTTGAAACCCATAGTGAAAGGAAGATAGTGTGAAGTCCTCAGACACACTTAGAGGCACGCTGGTGTCCTGCATTTCACTACACACTCCATGCTGGGGTCCTTGTCCGTCGCACCTTCGGAGTCACGTCACCTGCCTGCTCCCCTCGCCCACACAGTCTGCTGCCAGCCTGGAGATACTTCAGGGCAGGCTCTGTGCACCGGCAGGGACTTGATTTTTAGAAGGGGCTGGGTTGCTGTAGGAGGGGCTCTCGGTTCTGAAGTACCCTAAGAAGTGAAGCTGGGGACACACTGTTTCAATTTTTGGCCATTTGCAGACAGTCGGGCACACTCAGGACTCTTGGGTGCCTGGCACGCTGGCACTGGGAGGGGCTCTGAGGACAACTCCCTCCCTGCCCCAGCCTTTTAAAAACTGGCTAAATAAAATCAGTCAGCATGTTTATGTGTGACTGAATGCTCATTGTCTGGAGGAAACCATTAGAAAGTTCACAGAACATAAAACTGTTGGAGAAAACCTTATAAACTTATTTTTACTTTTTTTTTTTTTTTTGCAAATCATATGTAGTCATGAGAGCTAAAAAAAAAAAAAAAGCATAACTAGCAAAAAAATAAAGAAGAGTACTTTGGCTTTTGGAAAGCATGATGATCCTCTCCTGAGCTTCACGGGAGGGCTGTGTTTCTGCTCCGTTTCACATGCTGACCTGGGTGGAAGAACCGCGAGCAGAGTCCAGAGCCATTCTGCACGGACGCTACTTGTCATGCTGAACTAATTAATATTAGGCCCTGAACCTGGCACGCCGGGAAGATAATTCCCAGCCATGGGGTTTGGAAAAGGTACCAAAGGAAAAACCCCTTAAAGTTACCCTAAGGACAGAAGAAAAACAGAAATGTGAATCCGCATGTGTGTACCACGGAAGGCAAATTCTGCCTGTGATGGATGGAAATCAAGGGCCGGCGGAGCAGGATCGCAAGAATCCATGAGCCAAGCTCACGGTGGCACCTTTCTCCCACACTGTTGGCGATGCATTTAGGAGAATTTAAAGTATGTTTTTTTGCCCCAATTTTACCGCAGCAAAACTCAGCCTTCTTTGGAGAAGACTGAGTTGCCGTTTTCATACTGGCTGCCCACCGTGCAACACAGACACAGCCCCAGAGGCTTTTGGTGGCCACTGGTCATCTTGAGCTGGAGCAGCCGGGTCACGTATGGAGCCCCCCATGTGCCCGCTTTGGCAACGT